GGAAAACGATCACAGCAGCTCATAAAGCGAAAAAGAAGAGTGAAAGCCACGATGAGCTGTTATTGATAAAGCACATGCAGAAAGAAACTGACGCACCGCACAGTACAAACAATGAATCAGGCCAACCTGAGATAGGGATACAAAGGGAGTTCCATCCAGAAAAGCCGGAGGTGATAAGGCTAGGGATGACAGCAACAGAAGACATCATACGAATAGTAACCACATTATGTTTCCTACTCCTATGCCTGACTAACACTTTATTTCACCCCCTAGAAGGGAACAAAGCCAAAGAAATTGAAAATACGGAGATGACAGGAAATATAATATCATCCAGAGATGAGATATCAACCCCTGGTTCAAGGGACAGGAAGAATATAGGGCAAATTCACGTCACAGTCAAAACGGACCTCCACGAAAATAAAGACGGGGTCTCATCATTAACATATGAAAACTTCCAAAGGTCAGAACACAATGTCGAAAATCAAATCACGAGAGCCCTAATAACAGAAGAAACAAAGAATCTATTTGACTGCACAGATGATTATACTTTAGCCCATTGCGTGGCAGAGGATATGAAAATGAGCCGTGGAATTGCACTAGAATTCAGGAACAGATTTGGAGGAATAAATCAACTGAAAAATCAGAGACAAGAGAAAGGAGGTATGGCGATACTAACAGTCAAAGGGAGAAAAATACTCTATCTTGTCACAAAACAGGATTCGGCGTCAAAACCACAATATGAGGACCTGTTTAGGTCACTAGTGAATATGAGGAAATACATGGAGGATAAGAAAATCAGGAAAGTGGCTATTCCGAAAATTGGGTGTGGCCTGGACAAATTGGAATGGAGTATTGTCAAGGAGATGATAAACTTCATCTTCGGGAACATGGATGTAACCATCTTGATTTGCAAATGGGATCCTGAACTGGAAAAAAGAGCCTACACTGAAAGAACAATACTGACTCACCTCACAGAGAAAGGTACTATGAGAATACTGGGAAAAGACTTGGAGCCAAGGAATGACCAACATATGAGGCTGAAAGTTACCGGACTGACGGACATTACAATAAAACCGAATGAGGAAAAATCAGTTCCTGTCTCAGAAGCACTACCACTGTCGGGAGCAGAATTTGAATTAAACGAGAAATATTTATGTAGCAAGGGGCTACTGTACACGAATTACCTGACAGGGCAAAATACTGCCGAAATCAAGCTATTGAACAAGAATGTGAACGAGGTGAAAATTTTGCAAGGGTCAACAATAGGGTGGATAAATCAAGCAGAAATACCTTTACATGATGTTCTAGTGCTGTGCAACTCAGGATCAGAGGATATCGTTACATTGGAAGATCATAATACTGAACATATAGAGAACGGAATATTTAAAGACAAACTGGAAGCCTTATTGGATGAATACAGCGACGTCTTCTCAAAATCCACGAAATACATGGGACGGACAGACCTTACAGAACACATAATAGACGTAGGAACCGCAGAACCAATCAAAAGTAGGCCCTACAGAGTATCACAGAAAGAGCGGGAAGTTATTGATCAACAAATTAGTGAGATGCTGGAACACAATGTGATACGCCCTTGCCATTCACCATGGGCTAGCCCTGTGGTATTGGTTAAAAAGAAAGATGGGTCAATACGTTTCTGTGTTGATTACAGAAAATTGAACAACGTAACAAAGAAATCGAACTACCCAATACCCAACATAGATGATATTTTAACTTACCTGGGAGGAGCTAGGTATTTCTCGACTCTGGACATGTTCAGTGGATACTGGCAGGTGAACATTGAAGAAAATTCCAAACAGTATACAGCGTTCTCGGCCCAGGGCCACGGATCCTACGAATTCAACGTCCTCTCCTTCGGCTTATGTAACGCCCCAGCAACTTTCCAGGCTTTGGCAGACATGGTATTCAAGGGTATGAAGTGGAAAGATGTGCTGATATACCTCGATGATGTTGTGGTATTTTCAAAGACATTGGATGAGCACCTAGAAAAATTGGAAAAGGTATTTAAGAGGCTCAAAGAAGCAGGGCTGACGTTGAAGCCCAGCAAATGTGTTTATGTAAAATCCAGCGTTAAATTATTAGGACATATAGTAGGAAAAGAAGGAATATCACCAGACGAAGACCTGTTAAGATCCATTAAGGATTTCCCGGTTCCAAAGACGGTAAAACAAATTCAAAGTTTTATAGGGTTGTGTAATTTCTACAGGAAGTTCATTCGAAACTTTGCGGTGATTGCTCGACCATTGCATGAGGCAACAAAAAAGGACACGGGATACATATGGAAGGTAGAACAACAAACTGCCTTTGAAAAATTGAAGGAGAAATTGATTTCAGCCCCAGTGCTACACCATTTCAACCCTAATGTGGGTTGTGAGCTAAGGGTAGATGCCAGCATATTAGGAATTGGCGGCATTCTACTGCAAGAGGGAGATGATGGTGAACAGCACCCCATAGCATATATAAGCAGAAGTTTATCCAAGTGTGAACAAAATTACACAATTACGGAGCTGGAAGGGCTGGCAGCCATCTGGTCTTTAGGATATCTGAGACACCTGACCTATGGTAGACCTATCAAAATAGTGACTGATCATCATGCCCTCTGTTGGATTCGGTCCCTAAAAGATCCTACAGGACGACTGGCGAGATGGTCCCTCAAATTAGCGGAATATGACTATCAGATCATTCACAAGAGTGGTAGAGTTCATGGGGATGCCGACTGTCTTTCAAGAAACCCCATTATGCGAACAGAAGGGACAAAAGAAGTTGATATGGAAGAGATATCTACTTTTCTAATACAAGCTAAAGACCTTGTGCAGGAACAAAAAAAGGACGCGGAACTACAGGAACTTTTGAAGGCAGTCGAGAAACCCGAGGACGAAAGTGTATCAATAGGTCTGAAGAGGAGAGCGAAAAATTTCAGGATCAAAGACGGCGTATTGTATAAGACACACCCTTACCCAGGGGGGAAAGACTTAATGGTTATTCCCAAACAGCTTGTAGCCGAAATTTTATTTTCTCACCACTCCGAACCGCTGGCAGGACACTTAGGCATAGCCAAGACCTTACAAAAAATCAAAACCAGGTACTATTGGACGAATCTACAGAAGGATGTGGAAAAATATGTCAAAGGATGTAAGGATTGCCAGGCCAGGAAAGGCCAACAAAACAGACAACCTGTAGGACTTTTACAGCCCATAGAGGTGGGGACTCCTTTTGAAAAAGTGGGTATTGATATACTTGGTCCATTTCGCAGGAGCCGCAGCAGTAAAACAGTGATTATCGTAGCAACTGATTACGCGACACGGTGGGCAGAGACAGCAGCCCTAACGAGTGGAAAGGCCGGACCAGTAGCCAAATTTATTCTGGACAGGATAATTACAAAGCACGGCTCTCCACGCCATATCCTAAGTGACCGGGGCCAAACTTTTAGATCAGAACTCGTCAGGGAACTCCTTAAATCTATGGGAACAGTCAATCAATATACCACCGCATACCATCCGGCATGCAATGGTCTGACAGAGCGCCTAAATAAAACCCTGGCCGATATGCTTGCCATTTTTACAAATACAAACCAAACAGACTGGGATGAATTCCTACCACACGTAACATTTGCCTACAATACTGCGGTACAGTCGACCACCAGGTACTCACCTTTCATGCTTGTCTATGGGAGAGAACCAATCCTGCCAACCGAGGCAACACTGACACAAGATATCAACTCTCTGGACGCCAGAGAAATCAGAGAAAGGGCATTGGCAGTCCGGAGCGATGCAGTACAGAACATCCTAGCAAGACAAGGATTAGACAAGGTGCGCTACGATGAAAAACATCGGCACATAGAATATGCCCCAGGAGATCAGGTAAAAGTTTTTACCCCAGTCAGAAAGGTAGGCAGAAGTGAGAAACTTTTATTACGGTGGTTTGGACCCTATTATGTTACTAAAAAACTTAATGAGGTGGATTATGAGATCCGGAAAGGGCCATCGAACAAGTGTAAAAAGGAACTGGTCCACATAAGTCGAATCCTGCCATATAACGACCCATGGACACCTGACCCAGAGGTGACTCCTGGAGAGGCCTAATAGTGACTATTAGTTCTAAGTGGAAGTGATCAATATTGATTCACATCATATGCTATAGACTTCTTTTTCTCTTTTTCTAGAATTAGGTGATTTTTTTTAAACAGTAGACATATGTAGAAATAAGATTCACGACCCAAGGCTCTTGCAGGCTCTAAAATAAAATAAATGCAATGTTATTATTTTATTGTTGACCAATATTTTGTGTATATATAGATTTTTGGCATTGACTACTATGGTACAAGGCCAGCAGAACCTAGAGGTGACGGCGGGAGCTTTCTGGAGAGCCCTACCAGAAACCATTACATATGAGGCAACGATCCCACTTATATACGAGACTGCTTGGTATGACGGTGCCCCGATGAGCACTACGAGGGTCAAAAGTAGTTGTGATTCCAGAAGGGATCGAACTAGACCCGAGTGCATGATCTTACAAGATCTGAATGCTCTACAGAAGGCATATGCGGAAGAATTCTCCTCTCTAGCTGAGAGCTGGAGTCCCAGCTACTTAAAAAATAACTCTGAACCGAGAAACGAATTAAAAAAAAGGGCACTTGACTTCATTGGAGATGGGTTGTCATGGTGTTGTGGGGTGGCGACTCAGCACAAGCTAGATGACCTGGTAATGAATGAGCATAACATTCAAAACCGAATCACAAGACTGCAAAAAGTGTTGTCAGGGACAATAAAGTCAGTTTCAGAGAACTCCGTGAAATTCAAAATGTATGAAGAATCAGTTGCAAACACATTTCACAGAACCGAGAAGCACATCCACCTACTAGAGGCATCATTCAATGACCTCAGAAACAACATTGCATCATTTGAGGGTCAAAACAATCTTGTAATTTCCGAAATATTAGAAAGTCATTTCACGAACCTGAGGAATGTAATCGAACTCACCAGGGCCGTAAAAAGGGAAGGAATTATTGGAGCATGCCGGCAACATCTAATTCCAATTAGTATTATTAACCCGAACACATTGTCGCATGATCTGAATAACCTCAGAAATGAAATTTTGAAGTACGGACAAGAGCTAGCAATCCCCTTAAATGAATTAGCAAAGCTCTATCAACTACCGATTTGTGATTGCTCATTCGCAAACGATAAAATATATATTCACCTTCGTATTCCAATTATTCAAAAATCGAATAGCTGGGACCTTTTTGAACTAATAACAACCCCTTTCGCCTGGTATAACCAGACATGTAAAATTCAACATGAACCTATCTTCTTAGCTGTATCAGAACATTCTTTCTCTTCAAAAAATCAGATCCGGCAAATTTCAGGAAGCGGCTTAGACCACTGTAAACCTTTCCATGACAGGCTCTGTTATCTACCTAGATTCTCAGCTGACCCATTTCAAGGACCTGGATGTGCGAAAAAGCTCTACAACGGAGCTACGGTTGAAGAAATCAACCATCACTGCCCCATGAATTGTTATAAATCAAGCATAACGATAATTTCAGAAATAGAGGAAGAAACATATACCATTGCCCACCCGAAACCCAATACTACTATCATTTGTCCGGAACAGACCATCATCATCGCTGATAAGGCACATCACCCACCAGGCGCATTCAAAGTGCATGTACCATGTCAGTGTCGGTTGATAGCGAACGAGGAAGAAATCATACCTAGAAAATTTCCCTGTGCTAGGGATTTATCACTCGCAGCTTCAGCTACGCACATTATACCAGCAGCATGGTCAAATCTAAAATCTTTTGTCCTTAATCCAAAACTCAAAACTAGTACCCCGGTATTCCAAAATATTCAAGAATGCTTGAATTCGAATTGGACATTAGATACCCCCCACCTGAATCTTACGTCAACTAAAGACAGCGTGGACGAATTATTAGACAGAATTAATGAGGAAGAAGGTAATACCTACACAAATACATACGGACTCCAGGGTGATACAATCTTCTTAGTGTGGAATTCAATACTGTCCATAGGTGTTCTGTATATCCTGTTCCACAACCGTCAGGCTTTGCCACTTTTCGCCCCAATTCCTGTGGCGAGAGCCAACTCCAAATCTTTGATCCATCACGACGTAGCATTTTATCTTATTTGCACATTGTTTGCTGGTTTCGTTGGGTACCTCCTCACTAGAATAGGCTGGTTGGTCGTACGAAACAGGCATCACAGGAATTCAAACCCTACAAGTGATAAAGCCACATCAACAACCACCATCGATATGTTATCAGAACATAGTTTAGGGAAGTCAACAAGCAGTCTCAATAAAAGTTATATATTAGAAATTGGGAAGGCCGACGTAAGCACATTACAATCCGGACAGAGCCTCAAATGCATTCTACGAGAAAAGGATGCGGAATGAGAAGGCTTACTAAGTATAGTTTGTATAATCTAGGCTAACTAAGTTAATATGAGTGTTTTTTTTTTATGTTTTAGGAAAGGAATAGTTGATAAAAAATGAAAAAATACTTACCATATGAGACATCAAACCTGGACCCTACCGATAGAAAACTTGGGATGCGAGCTGACCAGAAGGGCAAATAGGCCAACGAAGCTACAAAAAAAAAAAAATAATAAACAAGGCGAGTGAAACTTGATTAGTGAATAAGGAATGAATGAATCAACGAGAATATGTGAAACGGTGTTTGCCTCTCAAATCAAGGAGTAATGTGGAAGAATGTCAGGGAAAGGGCTTCACATTAATTCAGCCAAAATGGCAATAACATTGTGAATACAAATGATGTCGAGTCCTTCAAATGAACGGCGAATGAATGAACAGTTCGCAAACGGATTCGTTTGAAAAGTAGAGAGGGTGTAAAGGACCAATGGGTTCTAGATTACATATGAGAGTTATTGTAAAATTTGGCAGAACAGGATAAGGCAATTTCTGAGAATATTATTATGTCCAACTTACGGATACGTCTATGTCACGAAATTACGTTGGCTGTAAAAAATTCGGCCATTTGATCATATAATGTTGTTGGCATAAACAATGAAGTTCGTTTGGAAATGTTTTCGTTAAGGATAGAGTTTACACTATATAAGTTATTGATATGAGGGCTATTCAGACAAGAAAATTTTGTAAGGTCAAGTTTGAATGGGCTAAAAAAGGGCCAGAAGGATGTCATAATAAACTACCTAGGTATATCATAAGTTATTCTCAAGCTCACTTTATATTAGGCTATATTAGGCTATATACACGATAAATTTGAAGTTATATTTGGGTAGGAACGTGAGCAGAAGTTCACGAAGTTTAAGTGAATAAATCGAATTTTGTGAAGAGCACACTTCGTGAACTTCTGGAAGTAGTTATAAATACAGTAAGTTTTATGTTAAAATATACTACCTGGCGATTTTGTCTCTTCTGCATGCAGGTCACTGATGGCACAGATTCATTATGGTACACACACAACCCTTGGAAAGCTCAGACACCGAAGACGCTGCGACCGAGAAGGCTATCACTGGAAAGGACAGGCCCGTCAAGAAGGATGAGGCAAAGGTGACTGGCCCACTATTCTGCGACTGAGATAGAAGGAATGGTAGAGGTTACGTGGACAGATTATCCAGCAAACAACAGGGATCATCTGATGAGTATCGCACCTCTTGATGAGAAGGGGCGCGCTATTTCGAACTGAGGTTGGAGAACTATGCTGGATGAACTGAGTAGTTCAGCCGTTCCACCCTATTTTTTTTTCACCCTGGAAAACAGAGAAAATGGAATAGAATAAACCAAACGGCACACCACCGAATAAACAGAGTATGAAACAGTCAAAGTTTGCACTTACCACGTAGGCACAAGAAAAAGTACGCACGAAAGCAAGTAACCGGACACCAAACAATATGCTGATCTCAAATTCCAACGCCGAGGTAGGAAAGAGAGGCCTTGTGAGTCCGTATAGATAACAAGTTCGAAATCGGATACTACCGCCAACACTTGACACTTGCCGCATCGACACAGAAGTCACAGAACTAACTAACCAAGAGTGACGAATGACAAATGACACGGATTCCATTTTTTTATCTCTGTCTATGATAATCAACGAACATGGAAACCTAGAGAACCACCATGTCTCACCGCAGTTAACATTGCCACAGACAATGCCAACATAAGCTTCCCTAACCATAGCCTTAATGTTCCGGTGTTGTCAACTTGTCCTACCCATATATCAAACAGACGTAACGATGGACTTGTAATGGATGTAATGAATGTAGTCACGATTCCACAGAACCACGTTACAGTAGCCGCCACACGCAGCCAGCAGCCCACCCCCAGCAGCCGAACCCCGGCAGCCGACTCCCGGCAGCCACTGCCGGCAGCCACCCAGCGGATGATGAAAAACAAATTGAATAAAACATCAAGATTTTTCATATTTCAAATTCATATTCAATATTCTTATTATAAAATCATTTTCATAAACAAAACATTGCTACCTTCAAGTCTATAGAGAATATGGGTCAGCACCAGTAAACAATAAATATTCAATAAGTATGTCATTGCCAAAACTAGAAACGAGAACATCGTTGGATGATAATGGAATGCGAAACTGCTGATTCAGGAAGAGAGAGACTTTGAGCTGGCATGAGAATTGATAGGTAGATCTTCGGAGATAGGCACAGTTGTTAGTCCGCGAGGCGAGGGTGAGGATAGCTGCTGAGTTAAGTAGACCGCGCATCTTGAGTTTTAGTTAGTGCCTTTTTTGTCTTGCGGGTTATTTTTGACCATTAGAGCTTTCGCGTTGCCTCCTCGAGAGAACTGCCAATCATGTTGGATATTTTTTTAAACAATAATATTCCGGGTGATGAGTAAGTACTTATAGCAAAAAGTGATGAGACAATACCATGATGAAATACAATTTCCAATAAATCTGGATGCAATTCATGCACGACTCATTTATGTAAAACAACTATATTACGGCATCAAATCAGCTGCTTTCAACTTGGTATGGGAATATTATAACTATCAAAGCTATTAGTTACCCTGCTTCGAAAAACTATTCATGATTTTAAACAGTATCTTCTTATTTTGAAAAGGAATATTACCTTTTGATTTGTTATAAAAACAAAAATTTGCTACTGTTGCTAGTAGGTACAAATCTCTAATCACAGATATGTGATTGGGTTTTCTCAGTTCAGAATTTTCCACACCCTGAATGAAGAATATCAGTTCATCTTACAACTGACAAAGTATCTCCTTACTTGTTGTGAAGTGATTGGACATTGATTTGAATGTTGAAACAAACAGTCCTCGTACTTGAAAGACACATTATTTACAGAAATTTTACATAAATGATTGAAAACCAGTAAGTAGGTACACCATTATCAATGCAATTAGATTACATTGCATTAAATCCTTAAATAATTAAAAATTGATGCACTTTGTGAAAATACTAAAGCGATGTTATAAACATCATGGACCAATCTTTCTTTCTCAATCATAATTTTGAGTAGATACCTCTACCAACGTGAGTGTTCAGAAGAGTGGTGGAAATTTTCGAAAAACATATGATATAAGTATATTATGTGAATGGTACTGTGGATTCAAAACTCACGTGAGTATGTTTCGAACGATATAAGTGAGTGATATTCTTTGATTATATGACTTGTACTTCTGATGCCAACAGGAATTCGCATATTATATAAAAACGATTTATCACACATAAATAATTTCAATGTGTGCCAACATGTGCATAGTTGGTCATTAATTGGATTGCGATTGCCTGATTGGGAAAGTGTGTGAATAGTCCGTTAAAGTGGGGTTATGACTTTGGTTTATTTTTCAGATTAATCTCTTAAATATTATTGAATATTTGTCACAATCAAGTGACCCCTATATAACTGTTTTTAGTTTTCAGTGAAATTTTTTTAAATAGGTACTATACTTATTGTTCTTGGCTAAAATCGCCCTGTAACAGTTTTTCCTTATAGTTCCTATTATTACACAAGTGTCACCCTCTTTTGTTACTTCATTTATTT